GTCTGTGAGTCTGTTTCTGTTTTGCTGTATACATTCATTTGTATTATTTTTCAGATTCCACATACAGGTGATATCGTGCTATCTGTCTTTCTCTGTCTGACATTTCACCAAGCATAATATTCTCTAGGTCCATTCATGTTGCTGCAAATGGCAGAATGCCATTCTTTTTATGGCTGAGTAGTATTCCATTGTGTATATATACCACATCTTTCAATTTTTTATTGTGGTATAGTTGATGTACAAAATAAGTTACAAGAATACAACATAATGATTCACAATTTTTTAAAGGTTATATTCCATTTATAGTTATTATAAAATATTGCCTATATTCTCCATGTTGTATAATATCCTTGTAGCTTATTTATTTTATACATAATAGTTTGTACTTTTTAACCCCCTACCCCTATCTTGTCCCTCTTCCCTTTCCTCTCCCTACTGGTAACCACTAGATTGTTCTCTATATTTGAGAGTCTGCTTCTTTTTTGTTCAATGCTCTATTTTGTTTTATTTTTTATTTTCCACATGTAAGTGATATCATACAGTATTTGTCTGACTTATTTCACTTAACATAATACCCTCCAGGTCCATCCTTATTGTTGCAAATGGCAAAAATTTCATTCTTTTTTATGGCAAGTAATATCCCATTGCATATATACACCACATCTTCTTTATCCATTCATCTGTTGATGGACCCTTAGGTTGCTTCCATATCTTGGCTATGACCATTGAGATGCATGTGTCTTTTTGAATTAGTGTTTTTGTTTTTTTAAAGATACACCCAGAAGTGGAATTTCTAGGTCATATGGTAGTTCTGTTTTTACTTTTTTGAGAAAACTCCATACTGTTTTCCACAGTGGCTGTACCAATTACAGAAATTTGCTTTCACATTTCATAACCATTGTAGAATATTCTCATGGGTAGACATAAAATTTATCAGTTTATCTCTCCAAATAAAAAGCAAAGCAAAAATATTTGTTACAATTCTAGAATATGGACAAGGTACTGTACTAGACAGCACAGTGCATGGCATGTAATAGGCACTCAATGGGTATTTGAATAAGTGGGTGCATGCATGAAAGAACAGGGAGCTATCAGAATTAGCAACTGGCAGTAAGTAAATTGTGAAGTCACAGTTAAAGTAGACTTTGAGTTCCTTCAAATGGAAATACATCTGGCAGGTACTAGTAAACTGAAGATTTTTATAAACCATGGTGGGAAACTGTGGATAAACCATTGTGGAGAACTGTGGTATCACAGCTTTAGCTACATTCTGACTCACTTACTCCATGCTTGCAGCTCTGGTGCAGTCAATGAAAGGTATATCTAGGAAAGTTAGAATGCAGTTTGGCCCACAACTGGTAACTAAATATGAAAATTGAAGTGAATCTAAATATTGGAAGGAAACTGAATTGGTGGGTGACTTGCTGGGTTGGATAGTATTGGAATCATTTGGCTGATGATGCTAGTCAGTCACCATTTTGTTTTGAAGTGGAAGCCCAGTAACCAAATAAGTTTAGTAAAATTCCTTGTGTTTACAGAGATCTAGTCAAAATGATCCTACATTTTCCTATTTAAGCATCCTCGTGGAAGTCATGTTTTGCCTTTCTAATTAAATATTTGCTTATGTGTGCGATACAGTCGCTGAATGAAGCAGAAAGCACACTTCTAATTCTTATGAGAGTTAGAGTTTAGGTTTTTCTTCATCTCAAGGCCCCAGGTTGCCAGAAAAAATATATCTGTATTTATTATCTGTTACCTATATCAGTTGGATTATCAAACTCTGAAAATCTTACTGCATATGTATAACAAAAATGAGTCAACGAGAACAGCACTGAGTTAGAGGCAGAATTCTGCTTAAGCCATTTACCAGAATTTTTACCACAGGAATATTACTTAATCCTTGGTAAAATGAGAATATACCTGTCTCCCACCTTGCAGATTGTTGAGAGAGACAATCAGGTATGTTGGATGGCAGAAGAATGTACAGTATAGAAGTACGAACTTGGAGTCTGAGGGGGTGGCCTCGGTTTGCACTCTGGTATTACCACTTGCTCTGTGATCTTGAGCAAGTAACTTAACCTTAGTTTCCTCATCTATCAAATGGGGGCAATGATAATATCCATCCCACACACTTGTTGAGAGGATTAAATAATATGTGAAGTACTAAGCATCTGTGATAATGGGCAACACTGATGAGTACTTACTGTGTTCCAGGTACCTGGTAACACGCATGAATGTGCTCTCTAGGACGTCAATAAACTACGTGAGGTAGAGGCCCAGTGAATGTGCTTTTCCTTTCCCAACCTTTGTTGCCCTGCAGCCTTGCTTCTATGGTCCTATAGAGTAGAGAGTTCTTACCAAGGATGCTTACCAAGGGATAGGGAAGGGGCCAGTTTACAGGATCTGCTGCTCCTGAGAGGAAAGCCCTGGAGTGAGGAACTAGCCCTGGAAGGAGAGCACCATCCCAGGAGTTAGATTTGGTTGAGTTGTAGAGGAAGCAGACCTATGATCTTGCATTCTGGATGCGTTTCTGTAGGACATTGTCTCAAGGGTCCAGGACTCTGGAAAGAAAAGACACCCAGAAGGACTGAGCAGGAAGAAGCTAGTTATGCATGCCCTTCCTCTCCCTCGAAGCAGCCTCCACCTTTTGATTGTCATTGCCTTCAACTAACAAGGAAACCGTGTGTTATTTTACTGTTATAACTATTTTTATTATCAGCATAATTGCCATTATTATTAACAGCTAATATATAGTAAATGCTTACATTGGGCAAAATTCATTCTTGCTTATCATCACCATGATCCTATGAGGAATATTCTGTTATTATCCTTATTTTACAGATGAGTAAAGTGAGGATAAATCAGAGGATAAAATAACCTGCTTCAGCTGGCAAGCAGGATCGCTGAAACTCAAACCCTGGGCTCTATGGCTCCAACCCCCTATTTCTAACTACTATGCTGTCCTCTTGTTTGCTTAATTATTCACAACTGAGTTCAAACCCACCAAGGCACTTGAGTCAAAATCCATGTGTTTCATTACTTTCTACCCACCGAACATCCAAGCCAGTGAAAATCAGTAAACAGACCATCAGTGTCATTTGAATATTTGCTGATCCTCACCAAGATCTAATAGAAGTCTTCTCTTTTAATTTTGATGATTTAACACACTGGATGTTTAAACAATAGGAACATCTTTATACCTGCTTTATTTAGGGAAAGCCATGGTAAGCTGCACTTTAATCCAATCTGTTGGTTGCTCTGTTGCTCAGGAATCAAGATGGTCTCTGAGTTCTACCATCTCTCACACCCTGAGGGCCTCAGAGTGGGTGAGGATGCCGAGAAAGCTTGGGCTGGAAGCAGAGAGGACCTTTACTGGTCAGTCTGGACCCAGGCAGCCTCACTTCTGCCCTGTTTCTTCTGTCCCCAGGAGAGCTGCCTCCTTTCCTTTCCTATGCCTTCTAGGCTACCTTCCTCAGAGCTACAGAGCAGTGCCTAGGAGTTTGTTCAGCACTTTCAGAGTCTTTCCAATGGAAATGAACTTCTGCTCAACTTGTCCTCAAGTCTGTTTTGAAAACCAAAATAAATAATTTGGGTTGATAGTCAATGTGCCAGAACACGAACAAAAACGTCCCATTTTGTAGCATAGAGAGTGAACTTTAACCTTCTGAGAATTTCTGGTTTTCCTGTATGCAATGTCTTTTATGTTTTAAGATTTGTTCTCATATAATTTTTTCATGTTACAGAAAAGGGTTTCCTTAGGCTTGAGTGTAATTAATCCTCTTAAATGAAAAGATAAAGTTGAGTGTAGAATTGTAGCTAGAGTTTTAAAAACATTTATCAGCAAAAACTATAGGATTTACTATATAAGCAAGCTCATTTAAATGTATCACGTTAATTACATAGCTGCAAACACAAGTTGGATGAAAAGACTTGATTGGATTTGTTCTATTCTGTTCTGCTGGCACGGCCTTAATTGCACATGATAAGAAAACACTTTTAGGCAGTAAGTGCATCCGATTACCATGACCGTTTAAGCAACCTGCTCCAGTGAAATATCAAACAAATGTCATGTCAGTGGTTGCCTTCTGGGGAAATAAAAATAATTAAATGCTGAACATTTCCCCTTATTGACTATTCAGTATTCAAAATTTAAGAGGGAGAGATATCCTTTGTGCTGTACCTCCCAAAAGGAAACAGTCACTCATTACTTAAAAACCTCCATGAATTGTTGTAATTATATTGTAATGAATTATAAACCTCAGGGCAAACTACAATGAGTTCTTCAGCAAGTTCTAAAAGTAGCAGAGACTGGATTCCAGCAGTTAAGGTATTTCAACCTGGGGTAATCAATCAAAGGATTGGAAAGGAGTAAATTAAAGGCACCCCAGTACTCTCAACACCATTGAATTTTCATTTATCACAGCGAGTGATAGACATACTGATTGCCCACTTTCTTCAAGAAGTCTACAATCAACTGCTATTTCTCCATGGCCGATCTCTAACCTAGCACCAGTTTAAACTGTTGTGGCAATGAAATCAAGACTAATTGTAACATTCACTTTGGAAAACATAATTAGAAAAGTAAATGTGCTAGATTCAGGAGCCAAATATAAATTCCTTCTGGATTATGCACAGTTAGGGATTACCAGTTTATCTGTATGGCTAATCCCCTCCATTAATGTGGATGATCCAGAATTAGGAGCAACTATTGACATGTTGAAAGTGAAGAAAGTGATAATATGACATTAGTTTCACTAATTCCACCAAAGAGATGTTTTCTTTGCCAACAATCTTCCCTTTAAGGCCTGTTGTTATGCATGCAATTTTGTTTATTTTGGGGTTTCCCTATTTAAAAAGCACAAATCTAGGCATGATTATTCTTGTTTGCGGGGGAAGAAAAGTCCCTAATAATTCTGGCTTGAAGGGAAGCTTAAATGGTCATTTACTCTGTTTCACGGTCCTGAAGATGACCTTTCTGGCTTTGCTTCTCTCTCCTACAGCAACCATCCACTATGAGTTACGCCAGACACATCATTAAGAAGGAAGGCTTGGGACTCCGGGGCCTCAACAAAGGATTTACAGCAACTTTGGGACGTCATGGAGTTTTCAATATGGTTTATTTTGGCTTCTACTACAATGTCAAAAACATTATTCCTGCCAATAAGGTAACTATTTCATAGATTTGAAATCCTGGAGGAAAAATCCTATCAATGAGGACAGCTATACTTGTAGAGTTTATTATGTCCCCGTCACTGTGCTGAACTCTCACATCTGTTACCAAATGTGATCCTCACGTCAGCCTTGTTCATTGAATGTTGTTATCAGAACCAAAGGCTTAGAAAGATCAAGTAAATTGTCCAGAGTCACATAGTAAATAGCAAAGCAGAGCCTTGAACTCAAGTCTGACACTAAAACTCATCTTCTTGAAGAACGTTCCATGACATTTGTCACTAATAGGAGTTCCTGGAAACTATGTTATTATTAAGTTTTTATCTCAGAATCATAACTATCTTAAGAAAGTTGAAGTTTTCATAGTCTAAATAAATTCTGAATTCATGGGGAAAAATTAACAAACCTAAAATTTAAATCTTACTGAGGTTTTAATTTTTAAATTCACCTAAGTTAATTAGGGTAAGTAGTAAATCAGCTCTTCTAGGATCATTCACCTTTGATGTAAGATAATAATTTTTACTGGTAACTTCCAAATGGCAGCAGCCTTTCAACTTTGACAAGGTAAAAGTAGCACTTGTTAAATTGAGCACTTGATTTTAAATGAGCATCTTTTACTAGAGTATCACAGAATTTTCTCCCACCATCATATTGCTTGCTTGCAATCAAAGTTGCAATTCCGGAAGCATCAGCTGCGGACACATTTTTCACATGCAGGCAGCTTCCCACAGGGTTCTTCATCTTCCTTAGTACAGAGATATTGGAGGACTTCTTACAAAGCATAAAAGTATGTCTAACGTGGCTGTCACCCGATTCTGTAAAGTACTGTTGGTTATAGCTGCCTTTGTCCAGCTATCCCTCACAATCTAGGCCAGTACTTATTTCAAGTAACAGCTAAATCCAAGGCATATTCCACATTAACCATCTGTTGACATTGCCTCACTCATTAGCCAAGACTGTTAACCAGTTTTCACTGTGTTTAGAAATCTCAGTTACTGAGTATAAACTCATGTTTTGTTGAAATCTCTGAATGGTCTGAAATCTATGAATGGCCACGGTACCTGTAGATCCCCCCACTGACTAACAGTTCCGACTCTGGTGGTCCTCAGAGCTCTTCTCCCGTCGAGTTCATGAAATACAGAAACAGAGCACAGTAAACACTTTGGTCCTAGATGACATGAGAGAATTCAACTCTTAATACATTAAAAAAAATTTTTTAGCAGGAACAGGCTAAATAATCTGTGGAGCCCAGTGCAAAGTGAAAATGCTCAAAAATTAAGAATTTTAAGACAGCCACAGTGGAGCAATAAACCAAGCATGGGCTCTTTTTTAAGTGCCGGCCCTGAGCAGCTGCACACATCACACACCCCTGAAGCTGATGCTTTTTTAAAGAAGGCTGAGATGAGTAATTCATACAACATGGGAGAAACGTTCATGCCTCTATTTCTCTAGCTCCCAAAGGCTTGCAGCAGATAGAAATTACACACAATGAAATTAAGTATATAATTTATAAATATCATATAAATAATATATATTTATTACATATATTTGTACATGTATTTTAATGCATATGTTATTACAATAATATGAATATGGTTATATTTAAGAAAGAATTTCAGAAAGATCAGTAAGATTTATATATGATTATATGTTACTAATGCTTTAAAAAATCCACAAATGCATATTCATTCTACAATTAATCAGTACACTTACATTATTATGTTATGCATTATTTTTAAAAATCAGAAGCTTAAATATTTATTTTGTTTTTTAAAAAAGACATCATAGTATTCCAAAACTATGGAAAGAGTTCATTTACCTTGGCAGTGTACAGAGGTGAGACTATACTGGCCCTTCTAGACTTCATTAAGGATTCTTCTGTTTATCTGAAGAGCACTGGAAAGCCAAAAAAAGATTTTAAGTAGAGGAATTACCTGATCACTCTGACTACAGCATGGAGGATGGGTGGAGTGGGGATATCAAGGAGAAGACAGAGTGTAACATGGAAATGATTTCAATGTGAGATACTGTGGTCTTGGACTACAGTGTTCATGGTAAAGACAAGGAGAAGTGGACAGATTTGAGAATATTTAGAAGGTGTGGTGAAGTCTAGATACATGTTGATAAAAGGGGTGATGGGTAGAGATGATGAATAGGTTTTGGGCTTGAACAACTGAAAGGATGATGGTGTTGTTCATTGAGAAAGAAAACCACTGAAAGAAACACGTTTTGGGGAGGATATTATGGGCTTAGGCTGGAAAATGAGGTTTAATTGCATTTGGACTCTGAAGTGGAGACGTTGAGTCGCTGATCGCATGTTGGTCCTGGAGCTTGAGAGGAGAGGTCCGACTTGAAAAAGACATCTAGGCGTCATCAGTATCCCTGGGCGAGGATGCTTTTACTGGGTGAATGATCTTGGGCCAATCACTTTACTGCTCTGAGCTTCTGTTTCTTTATTCTGTAAGTTGAAAAGCTAAGATTATTCTTTCCACCTGACAAAATGGTTTTGAGGATTAGAATAAATAGTATGTGAAGTTGTTTGTGGATTTTGAGGTGCCGTGAAAGCGTTAAGTGTGGTGGTGCTGATGACAGTAATGGGGTAGAAGTAGGGGTGGCAAGGAGGGTGGTAGAAACAGTTAGCATAAAGAACTGCATAAAAGTTTCCCCCCAGAACTGTTCCTTTTGCACTTACATGAACACTGTGGGGTGGGTTGTATGGGGGTTTTTGGTTTTGGTTTTTTTTTTTTTTGCGGAGTGGCGGGGGAGTTGCCTACAACAAAGTAGTTGATTTTATGTGTTCTGTAATCTAAGCCTGATTCAAAACTGGGAAACCAGTATTCTTTAAATTTAAACCATAATAAATCAATCCTTTGTGAAGGGGAAGGTATGATAATCATTAAAACATGTTGAAGAACGTCACCGGGTTGTTAACCACAAGGAGGAGGTGGTGTTCCTTGAAGGCTTTTTTCCAACTTTGCTCTAGGCTGCCTCTAGCCATGCACACTGGACAGTTTATTTACAGGGTTATTGTTTCAGTTCCCTCACCCAGCAATTGGTCATTCTGTTGTTCCAAGGGAATTTGAGATTTCACCAAGTCTGACTGGCATGGGATAATTCTAGGTTTTTTAAAATATTTTTTTAATTTATAAATTGTCTATCAATGTTTTCCATTCTCGAAGTATTTGATTTTACTAGAAATTGTCCATAATGATCATACCTGGGGAGTGGAAATGGGGAGGCCTGTGAGTGTGTGTGTGTGTGTGTGTGTAAGTGAAGAGTGGGTGGGGGAGAGCAGGAAAAAGCAAACAGCAGTGGAGGGAAAAGCGCTTTTTCTTTATAGCATTCTGAGCTGTTGGAAGCTTCTACAAGAAGCTTGTGTTAATTTTATAATAGGAAATAAATCAGTGAAAACCTTAATAGAATCTCATAAAATAGAGTACCTAGTTAACTTTTTCACATTATTCAACTCTAAGACTAACTATGTCTACAGAGGTAAAATAAGAACTAGAAACTAAATTCAGGTAACTCAGGTCAGATACCCACCCTTGAAGTTTTTAACGTTAATTCTCCAGATTGGTTAATTCTGGTAGATACATCTTTCAAGTTTCACAGAAATATCCTGACTTTCTGTGCCATTTTATACTATTAAACCATTTTCGTAGACTCCATGATTTTGCCTGATCCTCGTCACAATAACTTGTCATTGTCAGATAAGGAAATAAAATGGAAAGAAAGGCCCAGAGCTGAAAGTTAATGACATAATTTATCTAAAGGTACACAGCAGGGAGAAGAAAGAGCCAGAGGCCAGAACTCTTTACACTATACCAGGGAATGCTCTAACTCTACATCTTACCATGTCTTTTGTTACACTTAAAAATGGGTACTAAAGTTTAAGTGAAAAGGCTAGAGTATCCAGACAGTGCAACCAGATTCCTCTTCTGCCTCATTCAGACCTGGAAACTGGTGCTCCCTTTTCACATCCTTAGTCTGCCATCCACAGAAACAAAGAATTGTTAAGTCATGACCCTGGAAAACCTGGGCCTTACGGGTTTGAAAATGGTGCCGTGTTATATTCTTGCGGATTTATTTTTAGAATTTAGTTGTTCCTGTTGAAAGGTAACTAAGTGGCTACAATAGAAGAAGTTGCTTTGAATATTAACTGACCATGGAATTCATTTAATGGAGGCATTCATTTACATCTTGCAGTAAATGGAATGGAATGTCAGTATAAAGAATTATCCCTTCTCCCCAGAAAAGGGCCATCACTTCTCAACGTAAAGCCCTCTGAAAATAGGTATTAACTTAAATGCTGGCATCTTTTTCAAATATCCATGAAGGTAAGCTTTCCTTGCAAAAGCTATTTCTTTCATTTCCATTCCAAGGTAGGGTGTTCAGGGCATATTATTCGTGATGTTGACACACAGATGAGAATCATAAGACTTAAATGTTACGTCTCTTTAATAACTTTGTCTTCTAGTTCCATATTTACTTCTTTTCATATGTTTCCATAAGTAAAGTAATAATAATAGTAAAAATTGCTGTCTAAAGCTCATGGCTGTCAACAGTATTAAACTATGTTTTCAGTTTGCATCCTAATTAAGCATGTTTGCAGGTTATTTTGCCAAAAACAATAGATCTTTTGTGTGGAATTCTGCCATGATATAAATTACACATGTGGGTTAGAAGTATTCTAGGAGAGAACAATTTTTCATATGTTCAATCTTTCTTACTTAATAAACCATTTAGACCAGTCCCTGTGGTCATTTTACTACAGACAGCATTAAGAAACATTTTATTTTCTCCTAAGGTAATATTCATAAAAGATTGCCTTTTAGAAATGCAAATGTTTTTCTTCTTTTGACTTTTAATATTTTCTTTGTTTTGTAAATTCTGTGCAGAGTCTGAGGGTGGTGCCAGATGCACTTCAGTTTACCAGGAGAAATGAGGAAATGTGTTCAGTTCGTGATTTAAAGCTCTATCCTTCCCTAAGGTGTGC